AATGACCTCACCCCATCGTTGTCGGTCCTCCATTGTTTCTGAAAAGAAGTCACCTATCCTTATCAATATTCACTTATATGGAATGCATCTTTTTTTTTCCCCTCTGGCTACTTGTGAGGTTTTCTTCATCTTTCATTATCACCATGTTATATTTCTCCTGCTTACTATTTTCTGAGTTTCTTCAATCTCTAAAATTATCTTTTTCATTCAAATATCTAGCCATTATTTCCATAACTCCCATCCCTCCCCACCAGTACCACTCAATCTCTCCTCCTTCTGGAACTCTAAGGATACATATTTACTGTCTCCCCAGGACTATGGTCATTTCTGAGCAGTTCTATGTTCAGTCTATTTTTTGGTTGGATACTTATGTGCACTGACCCTTTTTAAAGATTGTATTTATTTGAGAGAGAGAGAGAGAGAGAGAGAAAGAGAGAGTGAGAGAACACACATACAAGGGAAGGAGCACAAGGAGAGGGACAAGCAGACTGTGTGCTGAGTGTGGAACGCGTGTGGGACTCAATCTCATGACCTTGAGATCATGACCTGAGGCAAAATCAAGAGTCAGATGCTTAACCGAGTAAGCCACCCAGCTGCCCCACGATCCCTTCTCTTCTGTAAGTTTTCAAGCTGCTGTTTAGTGTAACAGTATCCTTTTTACTCAGATACTGTACTTTTCAATTCTCCAATTTGTGTTCCCTAAGTTCCACGTGATTCTTCTTTAGTTTTCACCTCTCTGCTTAGATTCCCCCAGATTTACTATCTTTTACTTTAAATCTTCAAACACAAGTGGCTGGTTAGCTCAGTTGGTTAGTGTGGTGGTAATAAATCTTCAAACATATTTTTATTAGATGCTTTTTATTCTTTATTTCCTAATTCCAATCTGAGCCACTTCAGGATCAGTTTCTACTGACATTTTTCTCATGACTAAAGAAGACATTTTTCTATTTACTGATAGGTCTAATAAATTGTTATTGTGTAATATACTGTATATGGTATAAACTCTAGATTCAATTAATTTTCCCAGAAGCACATTGATTTTTGCTCTACGAGGCAAATTTCTATTTAGTTAGAAACCAAATGAACCTTGATTTTGTATAACTACTTTCATGTTTTCACAGAAACATATTAGAGCCTATTTTGGATTTTTTGAAAACTTACTCCTGTGGTGAGTCCCTTAGTCCCAGGAAAGTCTTTAAATCCCAAAGCATGAGCCCTTGGTTTCAGCGTAAGGCCCAGGCCCTAGGTATTTACCAAGTCACGACAGAATTCAAACTCCAAAATTCTGTCTTCACTGCAGTGGGCAGTGAATACATTCTGGGCTCAGCTCCTTTCAGCCTACCAACTATTGTTTTCTACTAGGCTCTATCAAAACTCACCAAATTGAACTTTGTGAAGTTCAAGGGGTTCAAAGAGCTGGGGTTCTAATGTTGTAATTTTCATGCTCATATTTAACCAGCCTATTTTCCATTTTGAACCCCAACCAAGGGGTTCAAAGATCTGAGAGGGATTTACACAGAGTGTGGGACTAAGACCTCCACCCCCATGACTCCCTCTTTGTCACTATTCCCTCCCTCAATTTCTAGCTTCTTGGCAGCAGTGACCTCCAACCTCTAATATGAAAGCCGAGGAGACTGTGGCTCTCTAGCTGAGTTCTAAAAACCCCATACCAAATGGACTAAGGAGGCCCTCATCTCTGAGTGTGTTTTCTGTCTGAAATTTTGTTGAATTTCTTTGGTAATTTTTAAACGCATTCTTCTCACCTTGTAAAAGGCATAGGTTCCAAGTCAGTACTTTTCACTCATTAATTCTTAAATGGAGAAAAGGGGACTACTATTTATTGAGGAGAATGGACTGGGAGAAGAAAGAGGGAAAGGACATGTTTTAGAACATGGGAGAACAGCTCTCAACAGCTTTATATACTTCCTCTTTTCAGGAACACACCCTTTTTGTTCAGAAGGTTTTTTATTTCATATCTGAATTTATTAGTGCTACAGTTGGCTTTATCAGCACCTGCAAAGCCCTTAGTTTCTCTCCACCTACTTTTACCTTTCAAACTGCCTTTGAGTTATAAGTCAGACTGAAGTCTGTTTTTTCAAAGGGGCATTTTTCTAGGAGTTTCTCCCTTCTTCTCCCCCACTACTCTGTGGTTTACAAACAAAACCCACTCGGGGCGCCTGGGTGGCTCAGTGGGTTAAAGCCTCTGCCCTTCAGCTCAGGTCATGATCCCAGGGTCTTGGGATAGAGCCCCACATCAGACTCTCTGCTCCTCTGAGAGCCTGCTTCCTCCTCTCTTTCTCTGCCTGCCTCTCTGCCTACTTGTGATCTCTGTCTGTCAAATAAATAAATAAAATCTTTAAAACAAACAAAACAAAACAAAACAAAACAAAAACAAAACCCACTCCATCTCAGGGAACATTTCCTGCTGTCTCCATAGCTCTAAAAAGGCTCACCCATGTATCCAGTCTCTAAAATAATTCAGTTTCTGCCATATCTGTACTGTGCTCATAATCAAAGCAGATATATATAGGTGCAGTCAAGAAACACTCATTAAGTTTGTAAATAAGGCAAAAAGAGGATTATGTGTCCTTTGTGTTAACACTTGAACTTCATCTAAACAAGCCTTCCTAGGATCATATAACTCTCAATAAATTACTTAACTTTGTTTTACTTCTATTTATACCTGATCAGGGCTCAGATGCCTCAAGTTGGATGTTTATTTTTAGAACACCGAGGAGTTCAAACTGCTATGTGTCTAGTTGAAAATGTAACTCCGAAGGTAATGGCTTTATTATTCTTATAGGATATTATAAGTTTTGGAGGCTACTGAGTAATCTCATTTCAGCACTCATCATTCTCACCTTTATCAGTAAGTCACAATGTATATATTTGAAAATTGTCTTAAACTTCTTGAAACTGTATCTTGATAGGTTAAAAAAAAATCCCCTTTGGCTTTTTTGGTGAGTTTCAGAAGTGAAGATACAAAAATGAACAACATGGCACAACAAAACAAACATCTTTGACATAATTATTCTTAAGCCACAGTCTTCAAATGTTTTCTGAAAGGGAGAAGTAAAAAAGGGGAGGCAATAAATACTTCCATTTTAGAAAAAAAATTAATAAGCAAAATAGAAATGGAAAATAAGCTGGTTAAATATGAGTATGAAAATTTATAGCTGCCCCTGTGTCAAGTGTGACTTAAGATTTTTTAAAGCAAAACAGAAGAAGAGGTATAAATCACTTTTCAGAAAAGCTGGATAACAAAAAGGCAAAATTAAAGATGTAGTTTAAGGATTACCTTAAGTGCTACAAATATAATTCTAAGTAAGCCAACTGTATCTGAGCAACCAAAACTACTACATGAACAAAGGTGAACATTCCAGTCCCTACAATATATTACAAACCAGGAACTTTAAAAGGCCCTCCTACAGTGAAAAACTCTTGCTTGCTTGGCAGTTGACATATCAGGTACAAGGAAGATGATCTTGACCTTCAAGAATCATACAATCTAATACTAAGCATACTCATGCAAGTGAATAGTGGGTAGGAAAAGGGACAAATCCCTAAGGGTTGCATGCACATGCACATATGTGAACATGTGTAAATACAATGAGCATCAGAAACACAGTGAGAGACTGTCACGTCCTATCCTTCACAAGCACTAAGGTGAGAAAAACCTGACAAGAGACTGTCCAAAAATTTTTTGGAATTCCTAAATATACAAATATATAAATATCTTTACAAAACTCACTCCCAATCACATATGCCTCAGATCTCATGTTTCCTGTACCTCACATCACCAAGCACCAGGTGACCTTACCCATGTTCTCTCACTTGTAACAACTTTTTTCGTGGCTAGAGCAATCACTAGAACAGTTTCACAAATCATTTGTAAAAAAAAATTCTATAGATAGTTTATAATGAACTCACACTGTGGACTTGAATACTAGCAAAATCTGGCATTCTACTCTTTAATTTCTTTAAAACCATTTTCTAGTTAAGAACCATTAACTTCTTAATGTCCTCACATTTATTCCTGGCTTTAAGTTCTGTCATTAGGAAAGTTAGTTTCCACCATATCACATGAATTCTTGCTTAAAATGATAATAAAGGATAACAAGCTTTGTTTGCAGATGCAAACAAAGACCTAGCACTCTAGCCTCCCAAACAAACCGCTGTCATGGGACTCTGGAATTTCTAACGAATAACTTAAACCAAGAAATGTGAATATTCATAAAAGCCAATGAGCTTCTTGGTGGGGAAACCTGAAACAAAAAAGCACTCTTGGGGCTCAGAAGCTAAAAAATTAATTTGGGTTCTGAGGAAATAGAAAAAGAGAAGGAAACATGGAAGATATGGGCTAGGCTCTAAGGATACAGAAACTTACAGAAAATGACAGCTTTACCCTCATGACAGAAATAAAGGGGTAACTCAGAGAGAGCTTTCAACATCTTTGTGAGTTAAACCTCTAGTCCAACCTTTTCATCTTGTAGTGGCCCAGAAAGGCTGTTTTACTTGTGAAGGTGTCAGAGCGACATGGTCTCCTGATTCTCAGTAATACCCCACAATGTCACACTTGCTCTGGCTGTTGTCTTGAGTTAGGAGCTGCTTTTAAAGTCAAGCTCAACTACCCAGCTGCAGGAGGGGCCCTGTGCCACTCTACTCAGGAGTTCAGGCCTTGAAATACCAAAAGTGATAAAAGGGGATACAGTCCCTTTCCTTCAAAAAATGCCAGGATCCTTGAGCGCCTGGGTGGTTCAGTGGGTTAAGCCTCTGCCTTTGGCTCAGGTCATGATCTCAGGGTCCTGGGATTGAGCCCCGTATCGGGCTCTCTGCTCCTCGGAGAGCCTGATTCCTCCTCTCTCTCTGTCTGCCAAATAAATAAATAAAATCTTAAAAAAAAAAAAAAATGCCAGGATCCCTGTTACAGAGAATAACTGTGTACTGAAGCAAATGCGAGAATTTTCACTCATTCCCCCTTTTCTGTCTTTTATACTTACCAATTTATCATTCCCATGATCTGTCTTCACTTCAGAACTAAGTGGAAGAAATAAGTCTGTTGTTGCATGTTCCGGGGGAGGTGCCTCTCCAAGAACTATCAACCCCTGCAGACACAAGAGCAGCATCAATGAGTGGTACCATAAAGCACAAATTTAATTTACAAGTTAGTATCACAAGAGTTAGGGGCAGGGGACTGGTTTACCAAAGCCCCCTTCCCTTTTCCTATGGTTCTCAAACAAAAACAACACTACCAGCAGTTTTGCTTTCCCAAGAGTTATTTCAACATAGAGAATACCATAATTTCCCCCTTTTCCCACTCAAATGCTATGACCTACATAAGCTTGTTCCCTTTAGCATCTTTTAGTCTGGAATCTTTAGTAGAGTCTGGTACTTTATACTGTATTACTAACTAGACTATACTGTGATAACAACAGCAATGCAATTTTTCTAGGTAACTTGATCACAGATGTGGCTTAAAGATTACCTTAAGTGCTACGAATATAAATGTTAAGTGCTACAAATATAAGTGATAAGCCATCTGTATTTAAGCAACCAAAATTTTACCTGTTACAAAGGTGGAACAGTGCACTCCCTACACTATATTACAAACCAAGAACTGAAAACAAAGCTGTTCCAAAGGCACCTGTTTCTCATAAGCATAAATAACACTCCAGATTAGGTTCCTGCTTCACAATTTCAAAGCTGGATCTTACAGTTATCCCAGGAATTAAAAAATGTAAAAAGAAACTTAAAACGACTTTACAAATCCTATCCAGTCAGCAAGGGTGCAGCCTGGTAAAGACACAAGTGAGCTCACAGTATAAAACAAACAAAAAGCCACACACATGAATCTCACAATGAACTCAAACAGCGGTAACCAAAACCAACTTTTGACACTGTATAACAGAAAAGACTGGGATGAAAGTAACCAGGACTTTGTGTCTTTAGTTTTCCTTTTCTGATTTAGAAAATAAGAAGATCTGACTAGTAAGTCTCTTAAAGGTAATTTTGTATTAGAATCACCTAGGAAAACTTCTCAAGCTATACCTGCCCAGCTTCAACATCAGATTTACTCCAAGTCCCTGGGGTTATGGCTGGGTATGCAACATTTTTAATAAAGCTCCACTGGTAAGTCCTAAGGCAAGCTCTAAATTGAAACATATTAGACTTCGTCAATCTTGACTCAGCATCAGAATCCCCCCAGTGACCATCCTAAAATATAAATGTCAGGACTTAAAAATTTTGACTGTATCAATTTGAGCTCCATAGCCATCATGATGACACAGACTCTTGTAACAGCCAGCGAACCAGATGATCCATTCCTATGGTCCTTTCTAACTCAAAACTCTCTAATGAAATAGGGACTGCAAGAGAGGAAATGGGGGAGGGGGGCTGATCTTAAGAAAGAACAATGGAATTCGACCTGTGTCCTCCTAAACATGAAGAAAAAAAAAAAAAAGAGTTACACCCCAAGCAAGAGAAACAACACTTACCTATCCTGGAATAAGACTATGACTGGCCTATGTGGAAAATGAACTGGAAACTCCTCAGAAAGGGGGGAAAGACCATTTAGAAAGGTTTGCCCTAGCCTCAAATGAAGTTTCTCTGGCTAAAAAAAACTGCTGAACAATATTTTCTTCTCTCAGTAACAGAATAAAACAGACTTCATAAACTGTATCATGTCAAAGTAAAAACTATTCGCAAAAACCAGTTATCCTGCACACTATTCCGTTCTTAAAATAGTACATTCAACATCTTCCCTGCTTAAGAGCCCTGGTTACAGTTACACCGGTCTCATTATCTCCTAGAAAATGTCTGCATGTGTATGAGTTTGTTACCACTGAGAGGGAGGTAATTACAAGATAGTTACTAGATAAATAAATGCAATTAAAGGTTACAATATTCTCACTTCCTTTGTTCATACTGATTCTGCCCTTTAAAAATATTTTTATCCAAAATGTCACTCATCCTTTCAAAGAGCTTGTCAAATCCAAGTCCCATCTCCTTTCAAGAAAATGCCCCCGGTTAACTGGGCCCTACTTGTTTTATCTACATTACCAGAGTTTCTGAAGCACTGGGATTATTGTCCTGCATTCTGTATATTTGAATCTCATTTCCAGAGCAGAACCTTGGGACAAATTTATTTATTATCGCCTCCATTTGTTTATTAACTTATGTTAAGCCCTCTAAAGACTTAGACAAAATACAAATATATTTGAATCCCCCATATTCCCTAGCAGAATCATACACCAAGAAAGGAAATGTGTAGCAATTGCTTTTTGAGTTTTAGGTTAAAAATATTTTTTCCTTGAACGGGAATATTAAGTTCATATTAATTACAGCCAGAAGCCTAAATAAGCCAATTACCAGGTATAAAGTTACTCCCTCAATTTTTTTAGGTTAGAAGATAAGTCAGGATATAACAGTCACTATTTTCCAGAGAGAAATCTTGAATAATCTCTTAAAATAAACACCTCTCTGAAAGACAACAAGGGCACTCTCCTGAGAGTTAAAAAGACCTGGTAGGGACCACTTATTCCAAATCATTTTATAGACCCAGAGAGGATGGAGGTTGAAGGTCATGTCAACAGGCCAATCCATGGCAGAACTAGGGCTAAACACTGGGTCAAACTCCTCATGTTCTTTCATTCACTCAGACCAAGCCATCAATTATCCACTTATTGACCTTGTTTTAGGGGCTGGGAATACAGGAAAGAAGGAGAGACATATCCTTCTACCCTGGTAATCCTCATCCGAACCCATCCCTCTAAGTGCTTACATTCCAATCCTGGAGAAGACAGATAATAAACAATTTGAGGAAATAAATTTTATGTAGTACATGAGAAGGTGTAAAATGCTAAAGAAGAAAGGACAATGTGAGGATTAAATGGGAGTGGGCATCTCAGGGCTATTACTGCACTCTAAAACAGACCGCAAACTAGCAGAGGCCAAGATACAAAGACTGGGAGAGTATCCCCAGTCTTCACCACTGCTCAAGTCAAAACCAGGATCATGCCCAGGCCCCTAGGCCTAGAAAAATTCTATAAAAGGATCCAAGGAATTGGGATGGATCATAGCTGCATGCAGTCATAATATATCCTTATACATTATTCCTCTGTGGAAACATAAAGCTGTCCTGCAGAAGTCAAAAAAAGGAAGAAAAAAGTAGTATGAACCAAAACTAAAAAAGGAAGAATTGGTAGAAGGAATTATGCTAAGCCTGATTATAAAACGGGGCAAAAAAAAGAAAGCAAAAAAGAACAGAAAAAACTTAAGCTTAGACTTAATTGCTGCTATTTCAACAATTTCATGTAATATATGGAACCAAAGTACAAGATAAAAAAATCACCTCTTAATTTATAACACAAAATTAAGATGCAAATTCACACACTCCCTCCCCTTTTCATTCTGAGTAGGTCAATCTTCCTTACCCATCTTAAGATAAATCAGTGGTCTCCCTGCAGATCAGTTCCACAGGAACCATGCTGGGCTACCTAGACAAGACATAGCTGTCCACAATGCCTTATAAACCCTCTAAGATGGGAATGTCAACTGCTTTACATCACTTTTGAAGATAAAGGTGTCTTTCTAGGCTTCTACTATTCCCTTCAGCTCCCTTCCTATCCAGAAACTTCAATGCTCTTCCACTTCTCATTCCCAATAATATGTCCATCCTCAGTCAGTAACTGCTATGTAATTTCACAGATCAGTCAGAAGAAATAAAAGAAAAATGGTATGTTTTGTATTAGACATGGATGTTGAAGGCTGTGTTAAGAAGTCTCCTTTAACAACAAAACTCATGTGGTTCCTGTGCTTTCCCCCTCAGTTTTATTTAGCAAGTATGAAATATCAATAAACATGGTCGAGACATATAATGAAGACGAAAGAACAGAACAGCAGAGTGTTAGAAAATGCTCTGGAGTCAGATAAATAGCTGTGGGTTCAAATTTAGCTCTGCCTCTTGCAAACATGTAAGCTGTAAGATTTGCTCTGTGCACTGAACAAGAATACATGAACATACTTGTTTATGTACGCACTCTAGGTACATATATTGTTCTCCTTTCTCATTCTATAAGGGAGCATCTTAAAAAAAATAAGCTCAATGATCATGAAAATTAAAATAGTAAAGGAGCAGTGTGCAGAGGAACTCCTAAACACTGTATTCTTTTTCTCCAAAAAGCAACAGGAATCATTACTCCCAAAAGAAAACTCTCAAGATTCTCTCAACCTGAAAGTTAATACTTAATTTCTGACAGGAAAGAAACTAACTGGTAATCAACTAGTGGTAGTTCTCAAAATACTTTATTATTTTTTTTTGGAATATGTCACTTTCAGAAAATTAAAGTGAACATGCTAGAGAGTAAATCCTTAAAAAGAAAGCTTCATGAAGCCTCTTTTTCCCCAACCCAAGACATGTTATAGCTCTACAGTTTACCACCAAGTCTAGATTAATCTCATGAAAAGGCCTGTACTACCCAGGCAATCCTAACAAACCTTGGAGGATAGGAAATGGGAATATCAATCCACTTTACCAAAACATAGGCAGTTAAAAATTTTAGTAACTCAAAAAGTAGGCAAGCTCTTGGAAGCAACTAACTTGAGCAACAGTCAAATGCCTGTACCTCAACTCTGTGCTCACATGTTTACTTGACCACGAACAAACTGCTTTCTTCTTTGATGCTCCAATGGTTAACCTTTAGTTTTGTAAGTAATAGTAAAACGCTTAGCACAGTGCCTGGCACGCAGTAAATGCTCAAAGACTTCTGTTATTCTAGTGATAGAGGAGACCAAATGCACATTAATTTACCTTTGGGATATATTTTATTGCTTACGTGTTATACAGGCTTGAACAGGATCCCTCCAAAATTTATGCAACCTAAAACCTATAAATGGATCCTTACTTGGAATTAGGGTCTTTGCAGACATCACTGGGTTAAAATGAGCCCTAGTGTGGGCCCTAAATCCCAATATGACTAACGTTCGTTTAAGAGGGAAATATGGGCACAGACACACAGAGACAAGATGCCCAAGTGAGGACAGAAGCAGAAACAGGAATGATGCTTTTTAAGGAGGAACACCAAGCAAGGACTACCAGCAACCACCAGAAACTTAGAAGCAAGCAAGTAAAGATTCTTCCCTAGAATCTTCAAAAGGGGTGTGGCCTTCCCTCTATCCTGATTTTAGAATTCTAGCCTTCAAAACTATAAGAAAACAAATTTCTGTTGTTTTATCACTCAATTTGTGCTGTTACCCAAGAAAGTGCCCCAAGAAACTAATGCGTTTATTTTAAACAGACAATATAAATACAAATATTAAATAAAGTTGTCACAGTTTTCAACATACTACTTATTAGGATTATCATTCAACTTTTACTCTGCCAATCAGAATTCTGTAACAGATATTGTGTATCCAGACTGTAGATCAAGAAAATATATTACCATCTTGAATGCCTTATTTTATAGACCATGAAAAAAAAACGGAGGCTCCGGAAGATTCAGTGACTTTTCTTCCCAAGCTTATATAGCTCTATGGTAGCAAAGACAGGACTGGAACAAAAGATTATTAATCCCAAGCCTGACAAAAGATTATTAATCCCAAGCCTGACATTTCTTTAATACATTATGTTTTGAATAATAAAACTCTTGAAGAGTCAATATATGCACAAAACTCCCAGACAAGCACTTTCCAGATATTTAGAAATACCTAAGACTTTTTCAAGTTTCCCCAAACTGCTGTCAGTACTGCTGAGTTACGAGCCAAAGAATAAAACGGAACCAAAAGTGAATTAAGACTATCTTCTCTGGGGGCACCCGGGTGGCTCGGTCATTAGGCATCTGCCTTCAGCTCAGGTCATGATCCCAGGGTCCTGGGATCAAGCGCTGCTCCACGGTGAATCTGCTTCTCCCTCTCCTACTCCCCAAGCCTGTGTTCCCTCTCTGTCAAATGAATAAATAAAATCTTTAAAAAAAAAAAAAAAAAAAAAAAAAAAGACTATCTTCTCCGGTGCCTGGCTAGCTCAGTCAGTGGAGTATGTGACTCCTGAACTCTGGGTTGTGAGTTCAAGCCCCACACTGGGTGCAAAGATGACTTAAAAAATAAAATCTTACGGGGAAAGAAATCCCACACACAACTAGTGAGACTGTAAACCGAGCCTGCTGCCGAAATACTTCTCTGAAGGAGGTATCAAGAACATAAAAGTATCCATATGACTTAGCTAAAGATGTTTATTATGGTATGCTTTATGATTTTAATAAATGGCAGAATTAAAACAGTCACCAAGAAAGGTAATATAATGTCCCCAACTAAAATGTTTTCCCGGGGCGCCTGGGTGTCTCAGTGGGTTAAAGCCTCTGCCTTCGGCTCAGATCATGGCCCCAGGATCCCGGGTTCGAGCACCAGGCACCAGGCACCAGGCTCTCTGCTCCACGGGGAGCCTGCTCCCCTCCCACCCGCATACTTGTGATCTCTGTCTGTCAAATAAATAAAAATCTTATTAAAAAAAAAAAGTTTTCCCAAAAAAACAACTACAAGAGCACTCCAGTGGAATTTCTGGAATAAAAGCTTAGATGATATATACGGGGGGGGGGGGGTTGCAGAACTTCAAACTCTCATTTTATCTTGTCAGTTAGTCATCCTTTTAAACTTTTGGCTTACTAATTAATTTAATGCATACAGTACACACAGTACAGCAATTTTCTGAAGGCTTTGACCAGCACTAAGGCAGGACAAAAAAGTGTTGTGACATGTATTTTTAAGAGCAACAGACTCTTCATCTAGCTCATACGAAAAAAAAACAACCTTGAAATAATGTAAGCTCCACAAAAGCAGGATTTTTATTTTACCACACACCCCTCTAAAGAGAACAGTGCCTGGTACACGGTAGGCACTAACCTATTTGCTAAATGTGTGTCTTTTCCATGCACATTTACTTCTCAGTCAAACCCAAACTGAGTAAGGGACTCTTTTCTAAGGTGATTTTTAAGAAGAAAAACTACCACAGTGTCACCATCAAGATAAAAGTTCTTTGGTAAGAATCAGGACTCTGCAGAACTGGAGGACACAAAATCCCAAACACCAATGTGTAATTTCACTGGAACAGTCTTTCAGGGAAAATCCTAATTTTCCTTAAGAAAGCAAGGGGCGCTTAGTGGTAAAATAGAAATGCATCTAAATAGAAAAGCAAGAGGATATCCTTAGCCATCACTGCTTTTCCATAAATATAACAAATAATGAGTTACATCAATGGCTTACATTTATATAGTCTCTTTTTTATGTTTCCTATTAGCCCAAATACAGAACTGTTTCGTTCTAAACACATGTTCAATTTAACATTACATTTTAATAGTGTGGTCTGCACTATTTTAAACATGAGGCCCTTAAACAAACTAAACACTATATCAGATCATATTAAACTCTTCTCTTTGACCCAGTTACAAGTTCTTGAGGGATGGGGAAAAAAGGATAATGGTAATTTTTAGTTGAGCTGAAAAAGACCAGACATTTATCTCTTACCTTATTAGCACGTATCTGTTTGTAAATATCTGTTTGCTGCCGAATTCGATATTCCAAGTCAGAAACATGAGCCTGAAGCCAGTTCCAGCGGCTGACAATAGCTGCTCGGTCTGCAGCCCATCTCCATTCTGACCTGCGTCTCCTAAAAGGAAATAAACTGAGTGAAATTCGAGAGTAGCAGCAACATTTATACCCAATGGAAATGGAAGGGTTTTAACATCTAAAGGCCCTTATGTCGCCTAGTCTACTGCCAAGAAAAACCCAAGACTTAACGAATGTATATATATATGTATGTCAATCACAGGACACACAGGGACAAAACTTCACATATAGGTATTTCCCAAATTAACTAGCTGAAACTGCCTTCTAGTATTCCAATCTTGTGGCAAATTCAGAGGAGACATAGAAATATTCTCAGGAGACAGAAATTTCTCAGGAGATAGAGAATATTTTCTACTTCAACATAAAACATATATAAATAATGAAGATTATCAACACAGAAAATCCCAAAGACACCACAAATTATTAAAGCAAAGAATTCAACAAAACTGTCAAGACTGTCAAAGTCAAAGTGTTGGTATGTGCCAAAAAGTGGAAAATATTCATTTCACAGCACCAACTTATGCTAACTTGATACATACAAGATCTTTAGAGAAATAATAAAACCTGAAAACATAAAGACTTATAAAAATGAGACACAATGTTCTTTAAGATGACAATTTTCACATGTGTATAAATTCAAATAAGTCCCAACCAGATTCCCTACAGGGTTTTTAATGGAAACAGATAAAAAGATCCAAAAATTCACAAGAAAACAAAGACCAGCAGTAGCAAAATTCTAAAGAAAATATGATGGAAACTGGCAACTACAGACTTACTGTAAAGCCATAACAATTAAAGCAGTATCCAGAAAGACAAAAAGACCAGTGAGACAAAATACAAGGCCCCAAAACTCAGAACTGGATATATAAAAGGGATGACATCCGTTATCAGTGGGGAAAGACTGAACTATTCAATGGATAGTTGAATGGCCAGCTCTTTACACAGAAGAAAATAAAACTAGTTCCCCTCATCATCATATAATTCCATAATTTTGGAATTCCTAAATCTGAAAAGCCAAACTGAAAGAAAAATATCTTTGGAAGGATTCCTTAAGACGCAAAAAACATTTTTAGCTCAATTTCAACATACAACAAAAGATTTAATAAAGCTAAAGATAAGCCGCTATTTCGTAGATTATCTGCAACAAACATAACTGAAGATTAAGTATCAGAATATAAAACAGAACTCCAACAAAGAGATTAAAAGAACAGGCAATCTAATAAAACAATAGAAAATTCATGTGAGAAATCCAAATGGCCAATGAATGTACAAAAATACACCATACCTTGTCAGATTTTGGTTAAAATATTAGTATTAGGTCAAATATTAGGAAGCTATTTGAAACCCAGACTGGAAAAACCAAGTTTTTTAAGATGTGGAGAATAGCAATTCATACACTGCCAGTAATAAAACCTGGCACACCTGCTTCTGAAGGCTAATTTGGAAATACTTGGCTAGACAGAAAAATGTGAATACCCAACCATAACGAAATTCTATTTCTGAGAACACTTGCACATCTCCATGAAGAAAGAGATTCATTGCAATAGTTTGTAAGAGCTAAAAGTTACAATCTAATTTGCTAACGTAGGAAAATAAACTAAGAAATAAGTTGTTTGAGATACACACAAGTAGTAAAAGAATTTAAAGGAATACTGCTTATTAATAAGTATTATATGTATCAACATGACTAAATCTCAACAACACGGAATGGAAAAGTTGTAAGAAAACTAAAAAAGCATAAACATACAATAAGGACTGTTGCCAATACATAAATAGTAATAGTAAAGTATAAAAATATGCGCAGAACTGATACTCAACAAAGTTAGGATCAGGTTTCTTATCACCTCTGGGAATGGGAATGAAGAAGTTGGATTTTAGCTCTACTTATAATGTAATGTGTGATTCCTCTTTAAAAACAAAAGTCTGGGGCTCCTGGATAGCTCATATGGTAGAGCGTGCAACTCGATCTTGGGGTGATGAGTTCGAGCCCCATGTTGGGCACAGAAATTACTTAAAAAAACAAACAAAACCCTTAAAAAATACAATAAATTAAAAAAAATTTCATTGAAATATATGACGACATTTTAACATTCCTTAAATATTAGAGGGGTATATGGCACCTGGTATATTCTATAATCAAAGTATTTCATAATCTTCCATAAAATTCTTTTCTAAGAAAGCAGAAGCAGTCACACTGACTGTAGCCCCACCTCCAATCAGGATATACATACTCACTACTAAAAACTTTAAATGGCTGTAAGTGAACTCTAACAGAGTCTACTGATGAGATTAAAAAAAACAAAAAAACATGTCAGGGTGCCTGGGTGGCACCGTTGGTTAAGCTTGTTCAGCTCAGGCCCTGATCACAGACAGGGCTGTGAGATGGAGCCTCTCCTCAGGCTCCAAGCTCAACGTCTGCATCTGCTTGAGACACTCTCCCTCTTCCTCTGCCTCTGTCCTTCCTCCTGCTCTCTCTAAATTAAATAAATCTTAAAAAAAAAAAAAAAAAAGAAAAGAAATGTCAATAATGACAGAACACATCTAACCACAGCAGGGTTAGAAAGGAGTTAATACTTAATTATACCATTATAATTAAGACCAAGGTTAGCAATGATATTTTACTTTTATTTTATATGGTCTAAAAATAAGCCATTCAAGCCAACCACTGTGACAAAGTATTATCCAATTATTTCTCTTTTACAAAGAAGGGATTTTACAGTTCCCTAACCTTGATAAAATCAGTACAAGATGTAAAGAGACTTTTTAAAAAAAGTCTAATTATCTGGGTGCCTGGGTGGCTCAGTGGCTCAAGCATTTGACTCTTGATTTCACCTCAGGTCATGATTTCCAAGGTTGTGAAACTGAGCCCCAGGTCTGGCTCTGGGTGGGCTCCCTGCTGGGCATGGAGCCTGCTTAAGATTTTCTCTCTCCCTCCCCGCCCCCCCCACCTCTCTCTCTTTCTCTCAATAAGAAAAGTCTAATTATCTGGTTTAATGTTGGCTGCAGTTCTAGTTCTAGCCCAAATCAGGAAAGAACCTCGAGAGGTTAAATACAATCTCTGAATCATTCCTGAACTATAAAAATGCCCCTCCACCTTTTTAATAAGAGGTAAAGTTAGTTAACCTGCATATCAAATTCCCAACTTTCATTCCTCCATGAGGTTCACCTTCCTATCCTGCTAAATCTCTTGGTTTTTTTAAGTTCATTTCATTCATTCCCAAAGCTACCACAGCACCAAATGCCCATTTACCATATCATGACTGGGCTACTCCAATAAACCTTAGCTATTACTACTCGTAACGTAAGTTATGCACTACTTTTCCTAACTAAACTCGCCTCAAACCTCATTACTTCCTGTCACTCTTATATGTAAGGAACCATACACCTCCCATGGCTTCTTTTCAAATCCTAAGTCTTCAAGCAAACAATGTATAATGGAAGTCAAATACTGTAAAAGCAATTCAGAGACAAAAACTGATTAGTACAATTAACAGTGTTCATTTAATGACAGTTTATTCACAAATTGTTTTAACAATGGACAGTGGCTAGCCAAAACAAAACCCTAATGTTGAAAACTAAGGTAAAGGAAAGAAAATTTAGTGGCAAATTTGCAATGCTTCCTCCTTAGTCACCCTTGATGGACAAAGAATCCTAGCAGTCTCTCCCAGTGATCCTGAACTTGATCCATAAGCTTTCTCATGACAGTGTTCTAGGATACCAAGCACTCTTAATTGGCAAGAAAGATGAAATCTATTTGTTATCTCTGAATTTAGATACATCCTAACCAAAAGAATTCTCTTTTCCCCTTCTTGTCTAATATCAAGGGGTTGGAAAAAAAAGAAATAAACCCAAACACTTTAAAATCTGTTTGAAACTCTGAGACTAGAACAGAGAAGAAAATTACTTAAAACATTTCCATTCACAAGAACTTTGACAAGTACTATTTTTGATATTAAAGAACAGCCCTTTTAAATTTTCCTAAGGTAAAAACTAACAAGCCTACTCTACAGGTATTCTCCTAAATATCAATAACAAACTGAACTTCCTAGTAATATTTTTTGGAAGTTGGCTAATAAACTCATTAAGGACAGGCAGCACCAAATTATGAACAGTTTCATTCTACAAATACAGTTGTCATTTAACAGTTTAGAATTGGAAGTGATTTTCAGTGGAAAGTTTGCCACAATGTTGTAATGTAATCAATGAAAAATAAAACCCCCACCCCCGCCCCCAAGTGTCCAAAAAGTATCTTGTGTGGTTTTAAGAGTCTGAGAAAGAAAGAGCATACCCGCACCGCGCGCGCGCGCACACACACACACACACACACACACACACACACACACGTGGGGTTAAAGGGGCAGAGAGAAAAGCAGATTCCCTGCTGAGGAGGGAGACTGATGGGGCTCAATCCCAGGAGCCTGGGATCATGACCTGAGCCAAAGGCAGATGCTTAACCAACTGAGCCACCCAGGCACCCCAGTATCTTGTGTTTGAAATACCAGCAATATGGGTAGAAAGCCAAACTATTAGCAAAGATATATAGTTAACAAGTCTGAGGTAGCTATGAAGACGATACCAGACCCCAGTGACAGAACACCACAAAATATTATTTTAAGAATAAGATCTTCACATCTCACCTGTTTTCCCCCTATAACAAATACAACATGCCACAGAAATTCAGTTTACTTGAGGGAGAGGTGGATTCCCCCCAATGTTCAAAATGTAAATTTATTATTCTGATAATTTACAGAGCAAAAAGCTACTGATTTAGTATTAGTCATAGACTTCAAAAAGAACACATGACTTAAGGTGCGTGTGTGTGTGTGTGTATATATATATATATATATATATATATATATATATATATACATACATACATAGGAGGGAGCAGGAGGGGCGGGGCAGAGAGAATCTGAAGCAGGTCCATGGTCCCAACACGGAGCCCAAAGCAGGGCCTGATCTCACAACCTTGTGATCTAGAATTTTTTTTTTAAATCTAGAAATTTTTAAAAGAATCTAATTAAACAACAATGAATAAGT